AGAATTGAGTTTTGTGTTCACAAAATTGAGTTTTGTGGGACAGGATTGAGTTTTGTGGGACAGGATTGACAGAATTGAGTTTTGTGTTCACAAAATTGAGTTTTGTGGGACAGGATTGAGTTTTGTGGGACAGGATTGACAGAATTGAGTTTTGTGTTCACAAAATTGAGTTTTGTGGGACAGGATTGAGTTTTGTGGGACAGGATTGACAGAATTGAGTTTTGTGTTCACAAAATTGACTTTTGTTAGACAAAATTGAGTTTTGTCCCACAAAACTCATTTTTGTTAAGTTTATAGGTACAAAAATGCCTGCATGTCCTGCATGGCGCCCCGTACTACCATAGGAGTAACAACTATATGCAATTTGAAACATGTGGGTCAAACGGTTCTTGAGTTATCGTGGCCCGTAGCCAAATGTTGATGGATGGACGGACGGACGGACGTACGGCGGATGACACCCCATGGCAATAGCTCATCTTGACGATGTCAAGGCTATAACAATAATATCGGACAGGCTACCACGACGAGTGTTTTATCAAAAGAGCAGGGCGTTCTGATGTAGTATGATTCAGCTAGGCGTGTTTATTCCATGGTAAAATAATGCACTCATGACATTACTGCAAATGAGTAATATAATATCGCTCTCAGGTTAGACGAATGGCGTCTTTTGGCTTTGATTTTGCGTCGCTGCCGTATCTGACAAATTAGCTTACCCTGCTGGAAAATTAAGGTCATAATTTAATGTACAACGCGCATGCAATCACGAAAGCGTGACTGCTCTCGCAAACTCGCGCTTACTCATGAATGTATGAGAGCAAGATCTTAGCGTGCCTTTACATGCGGCGTTTCTGACAGAAGAGGAATATTTTACGTAATGGAAATCTAATAGTTGTATATTATTAATTGTTGATGTTTATAATGCAAATGTACGCCTATTTCGTTTTGTGCTTCTTGCTTTCATTCCTTATGCGCTTTTTAGATAAGTGAACGTTTCATATTTATACCAATAAAACGCAGGTTGAACGTATTACATTACCGATTAGCCGTAGCGATAAAATGGCTTTTATAGGGCAGCGACGTTTTTCTATTTTTCCAGCGCGACCAGAAGTTTCTGCATGTTATTTCGCATTTAAGCGCGCAACGTCCGTCGGTTAAATATCAGTGCTAATAAAAGATGTATACAATTTCAGGCGTTTATAGCGTGCTCACCAACGACGACGGTAATGTACGCGAGATAATTTGGCTGCAAGGGAAAATGTAATTAAAGTACGCTCCAGAGTAAACTACTGATGTAGCAATATCAACGGGAATATGTCTGCGTCTGTATGCGCGCGTGTGTGCGCGCGCGCGCGAGACGGTCGCGCGTAGGAGCTAGTCACGCTTTAATTAACACCGTGCCGCCTCGGGTCCGTGATGAGTTCTGACACGGCAGGATGGCACACACGCAGCCTATAATGTATCCGGCACTCCCGCTGTCTATCGGGAAACACACGCTCAAGCACGCACGCACGCACGCACGCACGCACGCACGCACGCACTAACTATCGAACGCACGCAAACATCTTCCGTTTTGCCTCGAATGATACAGGTTAGTGATTTGTCTCCGTCTTGGCGGCGCTCAGCATGCTACACAGACGTATTAGACGTGAATTCCTGTGCGTTTTGTCCTTACGAAGCCCTATCGGATGCAGATGTGGGGTGCGAGTCCGTGTGCGGCGGTCTTATATAGCGTGTCTATAACAGCAGCGCCGGCGGCAGACATCAGATCCGGGCGAGAACACTGCTTACATGCGGTTTTACATTACATGTTCGAAGCGATTGGCTGATAGAAGGGCTATGGGTGGAGTGCAATATTCGATGTCACCTCGAGGGGGTTGGCTTCATTTGCTTTAGTGAAATATGAGCGCAAGTTTACACAAAGCCTATTTTAAGCATGACATTAATTAGACACCCGCTGATTAGTAATAAAGGTAATTATAATTCATATGGCATGATTCATGTTTTTCAGTGGATTCCCGTTTATTCCATCGGATGCAAGAGTCAAGCTCAGTAACCGCTGGCACAACTGGACGGGTGATAGGTCTCACATGGAACTATAATGCTGAACCCTTATGTCTGCGTCTCTGCATTTTTTGAAATTGCTTTACTTGCGTTTCTAAAGGTACGATGTGTACGATGTAAAGCATGAGAAGAAATTCTCATTTACCCAAGTAGCTTTATAGCATGCATAGCAATGGCAAACACAAGGACATAATCATGAACCTTTTAGCTTTCGCATTCCATCTAACCAACGGTGTCAAATCGCCTGGGCGCTCATTCGTTCACCTGCACTTTGTATTGAACACATTTGTCAACAATAAACCCAATTATTTCGTCGGAAATATCGGTAGTCATTACCGCCACGTATGTGCTGAAATTAAATCAGTGTTTATAACACCTTTAGTGCTTCAATATCGTCAGGTGACGAACGCTCTGTTTATAGACATGGTTTCACGTCGCGATATTGGCTTGTTCGGAAACGGTTTCATTTCAGGCCATTAATGCATCATCATTTATGCGAGACCAGACTCAATCGAGATGAGGTTGCATCATCGATAAAGATATAACGGGTGCACTTACGTAATGGTTCTTCTTAGAAGGTCCCAACAGCTCTAAGTGCACTGCAATCAGAGTAACCTGGAAGGTAAACGAGACTAATGCTGTTGTTTTAGTGCCCGTTGACAAATAGACTGCGGTGGTTGATTACGTGTGTAATTTCGTGTAGGAAACTGTATAGCGTGTGTGTAATACATTAAACGTGGTCACTTGATACTGAGAAATTCTTTATAGGGTATTTAGCAAATAACTTCACATGATGTTTAATCTTATGATATGTATGAATATTAATATATGTTAGTGGTTATATATGTGTAACGTCATGCAGTGCTGCCTACTTTTTTGTAGTGTTTTATCATGTTTTTCCTCAAGCTTAACGAGTGATTACTTTTGGTCGTGCCTCATATGAACCAAGAAGAAAACCGTGTCCGCATTGTGTATGCTATCGGAACAGAGCCTGGATTTCGTCGTGGACAATTCCGTGTCTCCTTACCATCTCTTTGTCCCGTTTGCTGTGAAATTACTGGACGGAGAACTGATAAGGGCATTCGGATTTTAGAATCGTCGCTACGCAACATACGACTATAGAACGTGCTACATGCGGTTATAGTTTGTAATAGGTATAAGCTTCAAGACTCAATTATTTGAAGCCCCCAGGACTAAAATTTCGGGCAAAATTGTTCATGGTTTTAGATTGGCAAGTTTTGCCCTCGATCTGTATCTGATACTTTAGATAATTATAACAATAATTATTTTTATTCAAAATCAATAATAATAACTTTGGGGTTTTGTTGTTTCACTACGCATAAACATGAGCATAACTGCAAATGGTAATGCGATTAACATCATTTGCGATTTTTTTTAGATGAACGCTGTCACTAAAAATAGTTATCTCTGATAAAATCTGTTTCGAATATGATGCTATAATAAAGAACGTGAAGATTGTGATCAGTCATCATTTTCTAAGCTGCACTAATATATATTTGCTGCACATTTGCGTCAGCTGCACATTTTGCTGCGCCATAAACGTGGCATTGTGTGAGAAAATAATAATTGTTTATGCAAAAGTATGTTGCTGTTACGCACTTGCAGCTGAAATGTTTGCCAACACATATATACCCAATGTAATATTTTAAGTACCTCCGCCAAGGGGTTGGCAGGAGGTTATGCTTTCACCGGCGTGTGTTTGTTGGTTTGGGCGTGTACAGCCTAACTGAAAAAGTTATGGACGGATTGTCATAAAATTTTCAGGATAGGTCAGCAATCGCCTAACTTAGAATTGATGAGATTTTGGTTGGGATCCGGATCCAATTAATTAATAATTAATTAATTTGAATAATAAAATTTTCAGGATAGGTCAGAAATGGGGTAACTTAGAATTGATTACATTTTGGTGGTGATCCGGATCCAATTAATAAAATAATTAATTAATTAATTAGTAATATTTTCAGGATAGGTCAGAAATGGGGTAACTTAGAATTGATCACATTTTGGTGGTGATACGGATCCAATTAATTATTTAATTAATTAATTAATAAATAAAATTTTTCACTGTGAGACAATTGAGCTGCCTTGGCGGAGGTCTGTGCTCTCCGAGTGCTCTAGTTCTAAATGCTTCTAGTTGATTGCGAAATTTCGACACTAACGCCTCTTAATTTATGTTAAAAATCTTACAAGTGCCTTACTACTTAGACTACATATACATATGTTTCATTGCGTTTCAATAATACCAAGAAGAATGATGTATTAGGCCCTACATGCTTTTTCCTCGAAATGCTGATCTACTTGATACCGAAGACAGTCCTATAGGCTAAGATAAATTGCAAAGTAGACGCTTTAAGTGAAGAAATTGTCCGCCATTTTGTAGCGGAGCATAACCGAGTTGCGCATGCGCGTTATATTACGAATGACCCGAAGAGATGATATTATAATCTTAACTTTAACCGGCCTATTAACATCACGCATACAGTCTGTTCTGTAATTCAGGCATACATTTCGGTGTTATCTGGTATTTAACTCTATTAGAGTATCTTGGATTAAATTTATTATCTTAAAATATCATTCAAATTATTTAATCTTAGCATATACAAATATAGATGCTACGCAAACATCGCAAACGTCATCAGCGTCTATTGCTTTGTTCTGTCTCTTGTTCATCGAATGCTAGTCACATGCTTTTGTTCGCATACGACTGACACCCAACATTAGTGAGAATTATGGTTTCTATCTATCTGCAACGGTCCCTTCTCAATGTGGTGCGAAACTATTTATGGTGGCGCATGCGAAGCACGTATATATAATTGATATCATGGAAGCGAGCGATCGTTACCAACGCCGACATTACCGACATCGTATTTCTTAGCATACCCTGGCAGGACTGAACTGCAAGAATGTAACATTAGCACTTACACTCCACTCCAAGTGCTGCTATGTTGTAATTAAATATGGAGAAATAAAATACAACACAATATTAGGGGAAGAACTTAAGCGTTTCGTGACAGTGTTGGCAATGTAATGTAACACACATCTAAGCACGGGTGATGGGTTGAATCTCTAGATATAATGGATAAATCCCGACTCTGTATTTGTCTAGCCAGTAAGGAACCCGGTAATAGAGTTCCGTGGGCAAATATTCCGTTACCTGCCCTGCACTTCCTTGTGGATCAATATTTTATTGTTTCATCAGTGACAAATGTCTATTAGCTTTATCGTTGCTGCTTAGTTATGACTAGCAGGCTAATTTACGCATGCAAATCTCTATAACATTTTTCATTGTCCCATTCATGCTTTCGCCCTTTAGACGCAATAGCAGAAAACGGGCGTCCTCTCTCGTTCTCTCTCTCTCTCTCTCTCTCTCTCTCTCTCTCTCTCTCTCTCTCTCTCTCTC